ACAATGTGTTTGTTAATTAAATCAGATTGTGATAAAATGAAAAAATTACTGTAATGTTAATGCTGATAAGACTTGTTTCCATTGAGGTGGCAAGGTCTGGCTGTGCAATAACCGATGCTGAAAAGAACAAATCCCAAAGCTAAGCAGGTCATGGAAGGGAGCCATGTATTGTACTGAAAAGCATTAATGATGTGCTTTATAGGTGATCCAAGCCAATGGACATCCATTTGGATTATCTTTAGCAGTGTTTGGTGAGAGAATGGCCAAGCCAATTGGGTAGCTCCATAGAAGAACCTGTCAGCAGAAATTGAACCTGCTGAGGAGCCTGGAGTTACTGTCAAGACGACTCCAGACATTCATCAAGGCTGGGGCAGCCAGTGGGTTAACCTGACGACCTGTCTAGGAATAACTCTCTCACCAACTGGATAACCAGTGACAGCAAGAGACAAGATGTCATCTCATCTGTATACCATGAGCCTCAGAAGAGACAACCACCAAAAATACTTTGAGAAGAGACAGTTTTTATTTGTTGTATTAGGATTGTTCAAGGGACTTCACAGTCCAAGAAATGGACCATGTTATAAGCTATATGGTTAAAAGTATTAAGCTCTCAAAATTCATAAGATGTGATAGGTGGAAGGAATGAGTTTAATTAGGAAAATTGGGACTTTCTTGCATATTTTGGAAGCTAGTAGTGAAGTTACACTTGTACAATTTGTATGTAGATTTTTAGGTTGAAGGAAAAAGTGGACCCTTCCTAAATGATGTAGAGGCCATGGATAACTAGAGGGGTAAAGTGTAGGAAATGGCAACAGGATTTAAAGATAAAATTAAGTTTTTTCTTGCAAAAAATACAGTGGATAATAATTATTTTTAGGAAGTTAAAACAGTGTTAATAGGGCTAGTAGTAGTGGACTTGATTATAATGAGCAAGTTCTGTTAAGTAATGGATTTCAACCTTTAGCTTATGCAGATGATAAACTAGAGGAGGGAAGGATAAGAAAAGGGACAGATAGAGATGGGAATGAAACATATAAGGAGGTTATTGTTATAATAAATTTTGTTAGTACAACACATAAGATAGTCTGTAGAGTAAATAGGGAGAAAAGAACTAGATTATGGTATCCAGGGGCAGGGGTGGAGGATATAACTTAAAGAGCCAGTGATATAGTTAAGATGCTAGCAGTTATGCAGTATTTGTAGTGCACATTGGCATGGGTAGGTCAGAACAGCTTATTGTTAAGTACAAGGCATTAAAAGAAAAGAACCATAATAACTTAATTCTGTTAGAGATACTGCCAAGACTTAATTGTAGGGATGAAATTATAAGTAGGTATCTAGGGCTTAATGGTAGGTTTAGGGTAATATGTAAGGAAGAGAAGGTTGGCTGATTGGATTTATTGGGTCATTTCAGTGAGAAAAGGGTGATTTTTGGAATGGATAGTTTACATTTACAACTGGTTCTCATAAAAATTAGATAATTTTCAATTTCAAGTATTACTGATGTTTCGAATAGCAACACACCTAGTTGGATACAAATTTGTGGCTGAGATCTTCATCTGTTGAGATTAGGCTTTGTCTGTTAATTTTGAGAGCTTGATTCAAACTACTGGCAGGAAATTCAAACTACTTTATGTGGTCACCATATGGCTTTGGGTATGCCTGAAGGTTAATGAAAACTTAAGCAATATTCCTCATCTTGAACAGTTACAACATGGAAAGAAGTTTGAACAAGATTAATTTTGGGCTCATTAAAAAAATGGTATGTTTAAAGAATGATAAGACTCCTAAGCAAGATAATAATTTACCCAAGAGCTTTAAAAGAGGTTTAGGATTGGATATGTGAGCCACTTGCTATTATGTTTTATCAGTCTTTGAATAGTGTGCATTTTCCAGAAGATTGGAAGTTGGCTAATGTTACTCCTCTTTTCAAGAGGGTGATAAAAAATTGTCCCAGTAATTATAGGCATATTATTCTTATATTTGTGGTGGGAAAAGGTTTTGAAAGTCTGATAATAGATGCTTTGCAAAGCCATTTAACAAAGATTAAAATTTTGTTGGATAGTCAGTGTAGTTTCACTAGAGGAAAATGTTCCTCTTGGCAGCTAGCCATCACCACCCACTGCCAACTCTTGGGCTACTCTTTTACCAATGAATAGTGGGATTGACCGTCACATTATAATGCCCCCACGACTGAAAGGGCGAGCATGTTTGGCGGGATGGGGAGTCGAACCCGCGACCCACAGATTGCAAGTCGAGCAGCCTAACCACCTGGTCATGCCGGGCCTTTCTGTAGATGAGGGTATAATTGTGAATTTGGTGTACATGGATTTTCAGGAAGAATTTGAAAAGATGTCACACAAAAGTGTCATTAATAAATTTGTATTGGATAAAAAAAACTGGCTGGGTGGAAGAAAGCAGAGGGTTGTTATAAATGGAGCTCATTAAAATTAGATTCATGTCATAAGTGGGATACCTCAAGGCTCGGTATTAGGACCTTTGCTTTTTTTGATTTACATCAATAACATAGATGAATGAATGGTCAATAAATTACTTAAAATTGCTGATGATATTAAGATCTTGGGTGTTGCTTACTGTGAAAAGAATGCTTCATATTTACAAAAGGATCTGGATCATTTAGTGAGATGGTCAAATAAATGGCAGATGTCTTTTAATTATAATAAATGCAAGGTATTGTGTGTGGGATATCACAATTTGCATTATTAGTATTATTTTCTTGGGAATAATCTTAACAGTGTTATGGTGTCCTGGTTGGTCAGTCTGTTAATCCATCCAAGGAATGTGCTATTGCTAGTGACAGGGCATATAAGATTTTACGTTGTATCTATAAAAATATTGAATACAAGTCTAAAGAGGTTATGATGCCATTGTATTTTTCATTGGTTAGGCCACATTTGTATTCAATCTTGGGCTTCTTACCTTAGAATGGAAATTGAAGTGTTTGAAAGGTACATAGGAGGGCTACTAGGATGATATCTGGGATGGAGAGACTGTCATATGAGGATAGGTTAATATCTCTGAAATTGTTTTCTCTTGAAGAAAGAAATGTTAGATGGGATCTGATTGAGGTGTTTAAAAGTGTTAAGGGAATTGATAGTGTTGATGCCTCATGTTTTTTTGTATTTAATTGTGGGAATGGTAAGACTACAGGACACAAATAAAAATTTGGCAGGATAGGAGTCATCTTCAGCTGAGACAGCTTTATTTTACTAACAGGGTGGTTGGCCTTTGGAATGGGTTGTCTTCAGATGTAGTGGATGTAGTTGATATAAGGGTGTTTGAAGGAAAGAAAGCTTGTTAAATATTTGAATGATAAAGGTTGGCTTTGAGATTTTTTGTATAGTTTAATTTGGTATATATGATGGCTTAGATGGACCAGTAGGTCCCTTGTCCTTTAATGTTTTGTTATATTTTAATGTTGTAATTTAAGTTATAGCTAGAGGGGCTGCAAGTTTTAATCATAATGTTGAGATCAAAAATGTGTAATAAGATAGGCCTAGAACACCTAATAGAAAGAACCACAGACATGACAAAATTTTTCTGGCATATTCAAGAGTATATTATATGTATGAGTTAGCATTATATATATATATGAGTTAGTTGTGAAGTGTGTAGAATGGTTTCAATATAGAGTGTGAACTTTGAGTGTTTTAGCTATCATGGTTACTTTGTACAAGTAAGTTTATTTGTTTAATGGTAGTTGATGCGATTTATAATGTAGGTCTACAGAAAATTTATGGCAGTATATGTGTTCAAGTTTGTAGAAATGTTAAAGGAGAAAATAGAGTAATTTAATATCATGACGTGGACTAAATTATTTTCACCACATGATATAAAAGAACTTGCCAATGAAAAGGTATGATACAACAATATATTATGATGTTATGATGAGATATTTTACTTTAAGAAGACTTTGCTCAAGCCTTTTAAAAGTACCCTTATAACAAAACATAATTAATATTTGATTCCTTCATGTACACTGTACCACTACATGACAATGAGTATGTTGATCAATACATGCACGTTTTTGATACTTAAGCTTCAGATATTCATAAACCTTTAAGTCTTAAGCTTGTTATTTAACATGTATTTATTTGAACTAATGTTGTAATTACCAGTGATTTTGTTTAAAAAATGTGAGTAGGTGTCTTAATATGGAAATTGAACAGTCAAAAACTGAAATTATTAAGATTTTATGTACATTGCTGGGCTTTGTTCTGTAATTTAAAAAATGTATTTTGTAAAGTATATGCCCTTTATATCAAGTGGGTCAGACTCTGTGGATATGTGTGCCATGAATATAATTGATATTTTTGGAAAATCTAGACATGTTTTTACTCTTCATTTGTGTGGAAGACCAAATTAAAAACACATTGCACCTGCTATAGGGAACTTTGGCATCTTCATATGTTTGTGATACAGGATAGTAGAAAGTGTGTCATTTGCCTGCCTATGTCATAACTTGCCTGCTACTACTGTGTCAAGATTTTTCTGATTAGTCTTGTGAATATTTAAACATGACATCTTACATGAAAGATTAATTGATTACTTATGATTAAAGATAAAAGATAAGCATTTTTCCTGATTTAATTATCCTGAATTGCTAATGTTTGGAGAAGAAATATTTTCAGTTTTTTCTTGATATGTTCCATACATATTTAGGTGTGTGTGTAAAACAGCTGAGGAACAAAATACTTTCATGTACTTTAGATAATTTATAACTTGTAAGAGTATATTGACTGATGCCTATGTTTCTCAGTCAAATATTTATTGAATACCTGATTGTCACAAATTTCATATTATTTTCTGATTCACATTAAGAAACATATTTTATCCTTTAAAATAAAAAAAAATAGTTCAGAGATGTAAATGTTATTGTGCATTTGCTGCACCTACATTGATTTTATTTAGATCTGGTTACAATGATTTTAGGGTTGAATGATCACTTTGTTTTTTTTGATAAAAATTATTTTTTTTAGCTGCAGTTAAAAACAAATCCCCGACATGAAGAATTGAAATTAGATTTGGCAGTCAATAACCCTTTGTCTCAAGAATTAGAAGTAAGTGTGAAATCACATACATGTTGTAATGAACATAATATTTTGAGAAAGAAAAAATTATTTTTAGTTTAGTCTAATCAGTTTTATTTATAATGGTGTTATTATTTTATAAGGGTTGCAGATATTTTATAATCTGTTATAACCTAGGAAAAGTAGGCTAGAGATTGATATAGGTGTTAAAAGAATATAAGATGATTTAGCCCCTCTTTATTTGTACTTTGAAATTTTCGTGTTTCTTCTGAGGTTCCTATGTACATATATGTAGTATGCTTAGCAAACAATAATATAATGACCATCTTTTATGTACATTTTGAAGAAACAATACAAGTAAGTCTTAAACTGTTGTTTAGCACTAGTTTCCTATTATTTGTATTTTTGAATAAGTAAAACAAAAAAATTCCTTTTAGATAAAGAACTTTAAAGGGTAAAAAAACTTTTTACAGATTGTGAGTTATGGCATCACTAAACTGAATTTACTTGAGAACGATAAGATCAATCCAGTTAATAACAGGAAACTTGATCAGAGTATTTCTTTATAGATTAATGTTAAAAATCTCTGAATAATGATACTGAGAAAGAAATAAACTGAAAAGTCATTTAAAAGTGAGCAGAGTTTATTAATTCTCAAACAAAGTGTATGTTTTTGCTTTAATAACCTGGGACAGTTTCTTTTACTGGCTGTACCTTCAAGCTGTTTACTCTTCTAGTCTGTTTAAATCCAGTGTTGTTAATCTACAACAAACATTGTATTTGCCCAGAGCAATTAATGCTATGAACATGACTGACCAATCTTATCAAAACATAGGCAAGGCCGTAACCTTAAGTAACCTGAAGGACACTACTGTGAACATCCTTGCACAATATGCAAAATTACAGCAAATCATACTACAAAAATAACAGATGTTATATTAATGGAGAATAACAAAAGAACAAGGCAGCAAAAACAAAATGAATGTAATGGTTTTTTCAACCATGTGTTATGTGAAACCTGCACGTTTACAGAATAAATTATTGATTCAGAATATATGCTATAGTATTACTTCAAGATAGAAGCACATGGTATAATCAAATACCACAGAAAGACAGTATCACATGATGCCTGTACATTTTTCTTAAATGAATAAAGTAATAAATAGTACATTTCAGTACATTAATGTCAATAGAACTGTGAGGCTTGGCCAGTTTTTGTTATTGATGTAACAAGTTCCAGAGTCTGTTCTTATGTGCAGTCATATAGGCCCCTGCCACGTGGGCAGTACAGATACATTACAAGAAGGTTCTATGTCTATATGATTTTGTAAGCATTTATTGTTGAATATATGAATAAGTGTGACAGATGAGATGACATTTTCTCTCTGTTTAAGAGCAGTACAGATCGACATAGAAAGTAGTGTTTCTGTACTTCATCACAGTTTGTCTTAACTGATAATGGTATGAATAACTGGAAGAGAATCTGTTAAGCAGATAGGAGACATCATCTAATCATCAGGAAACTTAAAAAAAATGGAAAAATAGAAGTATATCTAGGAAAAGAACAAACCATTAATTTAAAAACATTAGCTAGTAATTAAATGTGAAACTGAGCCTTGACAAAGTGGTTAGAAAATGCTTAAATCAAGTGTTTTCCACTTTGAGGAACCTCAAACTTTCAAGATGAGCACAAGAATAGTAATTTTCTGAAGGTTGTCAAAGCTTATAGCATGTTTGAAATTCTAATGAAGAAACATTTGAGTGGGGTGTGAATGCAGCTGTTAACTGATAACTTCAATTACAATGTCTTGAGGTTTGTAAAAAGAATGCAAAATACTACTTCATTTTATTGGACTGTACTCTGCATATAATATACAAAAAACAAGTGACAATGATTGTCTGATTTGTCTTAGAAGTTGCAGATAAATTATAAATTCCAAGATGATAAACACCTCTTCACACAAAAAGCTATCTTCTCCTTAAGTATTTGCACAGCACTAGCCTTTTTGGCAACTCCCACCTAAACTCCCAAGATTTCTTGTGATTTGCACTACTGCATAATGATGTTATTATGCAGTAAAATCCCTCCACTAATAGGAAGGTGACATTAGCTCCCATTATGCTTTTACACTCGTGATTTTCTTTCTATTTCTCAGCACTGAATGCATCAAACATGTTTTTTTTTGTTAATTTAATGAGATTTTTTATGCTTAGGGAACTTAATTTCCCCCCCTTTTTTTTCTTAAAACCAGGAACACTAACAAGTTTTTGTAACATTTTTCTGTCACTTGTGTGAGTGCCTGATTTCCTCACACAGGTTGTGTAACAATTATGGCTTATAGAGGCATGTATTCTGGGGATGATGTGGTGGTCAATGCAAATAGGAGAGTGGGTTCTCTTATGTCTTCAGCTCCAGTCCATTCTTTAGATGTTCCTTCCCCTCATCAATGAGGAAAATGAGGTGGATGAATTAAATTGCTCCTTAACCTGGTTAGGATTTGGGAACTTCTCTCCCTGTTGTAGAGTATCTTTAACTTTCTCACATTCTTAGGCATTAATTTCTCAGATATGCACCATTTTCTTTTCCTTTTCCTGTATCATATTCTCCTCAATCCTGACCCTAACTCATTTCATTTACCATTACTGGTCTACTTACATTTCTGTGACATCAAGCCTTGACCTTTCAGTCTATGTTCTATGTGATTCTTCTTTCTTCATCCTCTTTCTCAATTCTCATGTTTGGGATTGCCTTTGCCAGTTGGGGATGGTGGTAGTCCATTTGTGTCAGTTTTGCCCTCCAGTACCTGATACTCCTGCCTTTGCTTGACTCTTTTTACATTTAGCTCTCCACTCTACACTTTATGGCTGAGGCACTCTACTGTGCCCCAGAGAATTTTGTTGGTGATTCTTGTTACCTTTACTTCTCCCCTGTTGCTGTTCCACTTCTACCATTCCTTGCTCATTTGCCTTTTTGTTGATGGGTAAGTATACTCTCCTATCATAAGTTCAACTTCTTTATTCCCTTCTACCATATACTAGCTCTTTGCCCTGAAGTTTGAAGGTATTCTTAATTTGATTGAACCATGGGCTGGGCTGCCTGTCATCAATCCTTACTTTTTTACTTTGATTCCACACCGTCCCAAACCATATTCTTCATCATTGTATCTTGTCCTCGTTCTTAGTTCTCCATCTTTGGATTCCCACTTCACAACTTCCTCTTCTACCCGGCATCAGATTAGTTGAGCTTGTTTCCATCATGTCCTATGGATGCCCGGCTGTCATGATTTGTGCTCCTGTTGCCACACTTCTCTGTCTACATAGGGTTTTTTCTATTTTTTCCGCATGGAATTTCTCTCCAATTCCTTTCCTCTCTTCCTTTCTGCCCTCATCTTGTTTATTTTTCTCTTTTCACTCCCATCTCTGTCCAATATCTCTTCGAGGTTGTGGACATTTATATTTCCAACAATTATTCACTCCCACTGAATATCTTATTCACCAGGGTGAGGGTGTGGTGTTTTTCAACTCATTCTTATCTGGGATCAGCCTTCTCCCATCTGTGTGCAAGCTATGGCATTTATAGTCACTTGGATGCATGGCTATCCTACTCATACAGCATGTGAGGTTTTGTGTTTGGTGGCCATGTCTTCATGGGGACTGGTTATCCTTTTTGGTCACACTCATATGCACCTGCTCTATTGGTACTTGTGCATCCAAAGGGATGCCTTATGGGATTCTTTGACCTCTATTCTCCTGTCCGTTCCTCTATTCTATCATATGTGGGTGGATGAACAGATCTAGCACTTGGATCCAGGATGAGTCCTCTGTCCATATCCACACATAAAACTTCTGGACAGGATACCATTATTACCACAACTAGTAGATCATTTAGTTATGTTACATTCCAACAACTTCTTAGTTTTTGTAAATTAACTGCCATGGGGATTGTAATCCAGAATACATTGCTTTCCAACGCTGGACCTCCCTTATTGGGCCAATTATCAATGGGTTGATTTCCTTGCCTGCCATGTCTTGAATATTCTATATATTGGGTTGTGGACTGGCTGTTGGCCTGACCATGTTCTGTCCACAGATGGTTTCTTTTACCCTAGTTCTTCTTGGGGTTCTCATCTGCAGACTCCACTCATCTTTACCTAGCCAATCCTCTCAATTTTATGCTTCTTCTTGTCTCATCATCTGTTTTCCATCCCTTGGCCCTAGCTGTTGGTACCTTCCACCAAGTCTGGTATTATATTTGTCATAATGCTCACTCCCCTTTCCAGCCTTTACCTTGGGCCCTGGCCTTGTCTAGAGACACTTTTTGTTGTGTCTTCTTGGTCTTATCCTTCTAGCTGGTTTACCCTTCCTTTCATCTTCTATGTGACTTCACAACTCAACCCTCTCTTCCCCTGCCTGTTATATACACTATTGCTTCAACTTCTCTTGTCTTCTTTCCATCACAAGATCTTCCAGTTTCAGGTTTGGATTAATCTGATACATTGCCTGTTGAACTGGGCTTTACCACAATACCTAGAAACTAGGCTAAGAAGTTATGTTATCATGTACCAACTAGTAATCTCCCTAGTCATTGTTATAGTTAGTATTTTTCTGATTTACACATGATGTCACAAAGTACAACATAATTTAAATGACATAGTGCTTTGCTGAAGATAGTTAAACATATTGTTCTGGTAGCTAGGGTGCATGACTCATAATCTATAGGTTACAGGATTGAAACTGGTTGCCAAACATGTTCACTCTTTTGGTGTGAATGGTTGTAATGTAATGGTCCATTCTATTATTCCATGTTAAAATAATAGTCCAAGAGTTTGAAGTGGTGTCACTTCAAAATTAGGAACTTCTAGCACAGATAGCCTTTAAGTATCTTTGCATGATAATTTTACTTTATCACCCTAAATAAAAACTTCCAAATAAAGGATTGTAAATAAATGTGACTACTTTCACTCTTAGGCGTACATCAGGTGTCAGTTAATCGAAGACCTATATTGTTGAAAAGAAAATCATTTTTCAGA